TAGTCTTGTACTGTGCGGGTAGTCTTGTCCTGTGGGGTCGTCTTGTACTGTGGGGTAGTCTTGTACTGTGGGGGGGTAGTCTTGTACTGTGGGGGGGGGGTTAGTCTGTACTGTGGGAAAGTCTTGGTACTGTGGGTTAGTTTGTACTGTGGGGGTAGTCTTGTACTGTGGGGGTAGTCTTGTACTGTGGGGTAGTTCTTTGTACTGTGGGGTAGTCTTGTACTGTGGGGGGGTAGTCTTGTACTGTGGGGGGGGTAGTAGTCTTGTACTGTGGAGGTAGTCTTGTACTGGGGGTAGCTTGTACTGTGGGGGTAGTCTTGTACTGTGGGGGGTAGTCTGTACTGTGGGGGGGGTAGTCTTGTACTGTGGGGGGGGGGTAGTCTTGTACTGGGGGGGGGGGTAGTCTGTACTGTGGGGGGGGTAGTCTTGTACTGTGGGGGTAGTCTTGTACTGTGGGGTAGTCTGTACTGTGGGGGGTCTTGTACTGTGGAGGTAGTCTTGTACTGTGGGGGTAGTCTTGTACTGTGGGGGTAGTCTTGTACTGTGGGGGGGTAGTCTTGTACTGGTGGGGGGGTAGTTTGTACTGTGGGGGGGGGGGTAGTCTTGTACTGTGGGGGGGGGTAGTCTGTACTGTGGGGGGGGGTAGTCTTGTACTGTGGGGGGGGTAGTCTTGTATGGGAGTAGTCTTGTACTGTGGGGGTAGTCTTGTACTGGGGGGTAGTCTTGTACTGTGGGGGTAGTCTTGTACTTGGGGGTAGTTGTACTGTGGGGGTTAGTCTTGTACTGTGGGGGGGGGGGGTAGTTGTACTGTGGGGGGTATTATTGTACTGTGGGGGTAGTCTTGTACTGTGGGGTAGTCTTGTACTGTGGGGGGGGGGGGTATAGTCTTGTACTGTGGGGGGTAGTCTTGTACTGTGGGGGTAGTCTTGATGTGTGGGGGTAGTCTGTACTGTGGGGGGTAGTCTTGTACTGGGGGGTAGTCTTGTACTGTGGGGTAGTCTTGTACTGGGGGTAGTCTTGTACTGTGGGGGGGGTAGTCTGTAATGTGGGGGGGGGGGTTAGTCTTGTATGTGGGGTAGTCTTGTACTGGGGGGGGTAGTCTTGTACTGTGGGGGTAGTCTGTATGGTGGGGGTAGTCTTGTACTGTGGGGTAGTCTTGTACTGTGGGGGGGTAGTTGTACTGGGTGGGGTAGTCTTGTACTGTGGGGGTAGTTGTACTGTGGGGGGGTAGTCTTGTACTGTGGGGGGGGTAGTCTTGTACTGTGGGGGGGGTAGTCTTGTACTGGGGGGAGTCTTGTACTGTGGGGTAGTCTTGTACTGTGGGGTAGTCTTGTACTGTGGGGTAGTCTTGTACTGTGGGGGGGTAGCTTGTACTGTGGGGGGGGGTAGTCTTGTACTGGGGGGAAAGTCTTGTACTGTGGGTTAGTCTTGTACTGTGGGGGTAGTCTTAATGTGGGTACTGTGGGGGTGTCTTGTACTGTGGGGTAGTCTTGTACTGTGGGGGGTAGTCTTGTACTGTGGGGGGTAGTCTGTACTGTGGAGGTAGTCTTGTACTGTGGGGGTAGTCTTGTACTGTGGGGGGTAGTCTTGTACTGTGGGGGGGTAGTCTTGTACTGTGGGGGGGTCGTCTTGTACTGTGGGGGGGGGGGGTTAGTCTTGTACTGTGGGGGGGGGTATAGTCTTGTACTGTGGGGGGGGTATTAGTCTTGTACTGTGGAGGTAGTCTTGTACTGGGGGGTAGTCTTGTACTGTGGGGTAGTCTTGTACTGTGGGGGTAGTCTTGTACTGTGGAGGTATTCTTGTACTGTGGGGGTAGTCTTGTACTGTGGGGGCAGTCTTGTACTGTGGGGGCAGTCTTGTACTGTGGGGGGGTAGTCTTGTACTGTGGGGGGGGGTAGTCTTGTACTGTGGGGGGTAGTCTTGTAATGTGGGGGTTAGTCTTGTACTGTGGGGGTAGTCTTGTACTGTGGGGGGTAGTCTTGTACTGTGGAGGTAGTCTTGTACTGTGGGGGGTAGTCTTGTACTGTGGGGGGTAGTCTTGTACTGTGGGGGTAGTCTTGTACTGTGGGGGTAGTATTGTACTGTGGGGGGGTAGTCTTGTACTGTGGGGGGGGGGGTAGTCTTGTACTGGGGGGTAGTCTTGTACTGTGGGGGCAGTCTTGTACTGTGGGGGTGGTAGTCTTGTACTGTGGGGGGGGTAGTCTTGTCCTGGGGGGGTAGTCTTGTACTGTGGGGGTAGTCTTGTACTGTGGGGGGGTAGTCTTGTACTGTGGGGGGGTAGTCTTGTACTGGGGGGGGGTAGTCTTGTACTGTGGGGGGTAGTCTTGTACTGTGGAGGTAGTCTTGTACTGTGGGGGTAGTCTTGTACTGTGGGGGGGTAGTCTTGTACTGTGGGGGGGGGTAGTCTTGTACTGTGGAGGTAGTCTTGTACTGTGGGGGTAGTCTTGTACTGTGGGGGGGTTAGTCTTGTACTGTGGGGGGTCGTCTGTACTGTGGGGGGTAGTCTTGTACTGTGGGGGGGGGTAGTCTTGTACTGTGGAGGTATTCTTGTACTGTGGGGGCAGTCTTGTACTGTGGGGGCAGTCTTGTACTGTGGGGGCAGTCTTGTACTGTGGGGGCAGTCTTGTACTGTGGAGGTAGTCTTGTACTGTGGGGTAGTCTTGTACTGTGGGGGGGGGGGGTAGTCTTGTACTGTGGGGGTAGTCTTGTACTGTGGGGGGGGGTAGTCTTGTACTGTGGGGGGGTAGTCTTGTTACTGTGGGGTAGTCTTGTAATGTGGGGGGGGGTAGTCTTGTACTGTGGGGGTAGTCTTGTACTGTGGGGGGGGTAGTCTTGTACTGTGGGGGGGTAGTCTTGTACTGTGGGGGGGTAGTCTTTGTACTGTGGGGGTAGTCTTGTACTGTGGAGGTAGTCTTGTACTGTGGGGTAGTCTTGTACTGTGGGGGGGGGGTAGTCTTGTACTGTGGGGGGGGTAGTCTTGTACTGTGGGGGTAGTCTTGTACTGTGGGGGTAGTCTTGTACTGTGGGGGTAGTCTTGTACTGTGGGGGGGTAGTCTTGTACTGTGGGGGTAGTCTTGTACTGTGGAGGTAGTCTTGTACTGTGGGGGTAGTCTTGTACTGTGGGGGGGGGGGTAGTCTTGTACTGTGGGGGGGTAGTCTTGTACTGTGGGGGTAGTCTTGTACTGTGGGGGGGGGTAGTCTTGTACTGTGGGGGGGGGGGTAGTCTTGTACTGTGGGGGTAGTCTTGTACTGTGGGGGGGGGTAGTCTTGTACTGTGGGGGTAGTCTTGTACTGTGGGGGTAGTCTTGTACTGTGGGGGGGGGTAGTCTTGTACTGTGGGGGTAGTCTTGTACTGTGGGGGTAGTCTTGTACTGTGGGGTAGTCTTGTACTGTGGGGGGGGTAGTCTTGTACTGTGGGGGTAGTCTTGTACTGTGGGGGGGGGGTAGTCTTGTACTGTGGAGGTAGTCTTGTACTGTGGGGGGTAGTCTTGTACTGTGGGGGGTAGTCTTGTACTGTGGGGTAGTCTTGTACTGTGGGGGTAGTCTTGTACTGTGGGGGGGTAGTCTTGTACTGTGGGGGGTAGTCTTGTACTGTGGGGGTAGTCTTGTACTGTGGGGGGTAGTCTTGTACTGTGGGGGGTAGTCTTGTACTGTGGGGTAGTCTTGTACTGTGGGGGTAGTCTTGTACTGTGGAGGTAGTCTTGCACTGTGGGGGGGGGGGTATTCTTGTACTGTGGGGTAGTCTTGTACTGTGGGGTAGTCTTGTACTGTGGGAGATATTATTTTACATCTGGAACAGCCATGCGTAATGTTGGTGGTCATGCATAGCTTGTTGGATAGTCGAGTACGGCTGAGATAGCCATGCATTGCTTGGGTAGCCATCTAAATATGGTTGTAGTTATGAATAGCTGCTAATAGGATAATTATTCAAAACGTAACGCTACTGGGTGTTATAAAGCAGTGGCAACGATGACGGTGGTGAGATTTTTGTACTTTGAGCCACTGCCCACGCAGTCCCATTTTTTTATTTGATTACAGTAGTGGCGTGTGTGTATATGTGTGTGGTGACCTGCATACTAACGTGACAGCGGCGATGTGGATGCATCCAAGTGCAGCGTTTGGTGGAGAATGATTTACAATAGCTTCATTGGTCTTGAGAACATTACGTGTGATTGTCTTCCTCGAGCCTTTTCTTGATCGGTAATCTTAACATAAGTTTTCTTTCTCTACTAGTGGATTATTCGTGTGTAAATTGCGTAACAGTTCTTGGTTACCAAGATCGACGTGTCATCAAAGCAATACTGTAACTCACTGGGCTGTCAATCCACTTACAGTGGGGCATTTTCGAAAATTCGGGAACCTCGCATTAAAATTGTCAATCGCCTTAATAAGACATTTTAGATGTGTTTTGAAAGTAATGATAGTTTTCTAAATTGTGGTTTATTTACAGATTACATTAATAGTTTTTTTTATAATCCCATGAAACTGATTGCACCATCGCCATCCCAGAACTGATAGAAATTACCTCTTGAGTGTCCAATACCATGATATCTTATGAGCATTTCTCTCAGGGAAATATTTCTATAAAATATAGTCATTATTGGTTGATATACCCAGGAAAGAATCAAATTATTGGTTTGCTTATGATTACCCCCATTTCTAAAGTGTCTAGAGCAGTGGCACAGTGGTTAGCGTATTGCGCTATGAACCTGGCCAAGGGAGTAGGAATACCAGCCACAGATAACGTCAGTGGTGAGTGATACTTGAATCTCTTTACCGACATGATGTGCGAAAGTCTTAATCCAGAAGTAGATTGACAAAGTTGGCAAATTTTACATTATAATCATATAAAAGTGCCTGAAATGTCCATTTAGTGGAACTGTCAGGTAGCTACGTTGTTGCGGTGTTTTGAAAGTACTGTAGTGTTGTCAAACAGAGCAGGATGCATGCTGTTAAACCCACCCCACCCCTCTCCGCTGTATCCCTATTTGCGTTTCTAGGCGGTGACACTGCCCTGCCCTGGGGTTGGCTCCGTGGGACGCCAAGGCAGTGGGTGTGCACGCAAGGTAAAGATGGCTTACACCGGTTGCGTAAGGCACTCGCAGGTTGAATTTCCTGCACGTCTACAGATTAAGGTGGCTGTGTGTTTTGGCACACAGGCTACGTGGTTCAGTCTTGTGCGTAATCTCGCTGTGTAATGGTGGAATTTAAAGAAAACCACAAACCAAAAGCAAGTCGCTCCTTCCTGTCTTTCAGATGAACACGCAGGCTAGGTAGTGTGTGTGTCCTTGATTTTCCGACACAAATTGAAAGCTTCATGAGAATAGAGGCTGTCAATGCACGGTCACGTGTGCCGTCGTGACATCACTGCAATGGCATTTCTATGCGAGTGACATCACAGCGATGCAGCTAGAGTGTTATCAACGCTGAATGAAAGTTGAAGGCTGTCCGACACCAATAACGGTATTGGATAGCCTTCAAATCACGCGCACGAGTCACATGGCTAGTAGGTGGGCGGATGTTGCATACGCAGCAGTGTTTATATTAGAGAGTGTAGACGAGGGATGCCACCGCGGAGGCTTTACTGCTGCATTAGTTATTCAGTGCTCGAGCAGAGGATTCAGTTAAATCCATTACTCGCCTGCCCAAAAGGGGCCGCTACAAGCAACCAAATACATACAGAAGGACACCTGTAAATGATTCTCTGTTGAGATGTTTTTATTTTAACATCACCCTTGGCCTTGGTAGTTCCATTGTAGCTACAATTTCCATCTTTGAAAAAAATCCCCATTTCCATCTAATTTACTAACTTATAACTATTTCATATTGTTGCATGTTGTTTATATTTTAAATCGACAATGTGTTAAGGCTTCTTAGTTTGGCTGTCTGAGCCTCACATTCCCATTGGAAGCTAATATTTAAGTTGTTGGTCTTGAGGCATATGATGCATTTAATGATGCAATATCAGTGGATCGAGTCAAAGATTAATATCAATTATTTAGGCTCACGATACTTGCATTGCATCATTCTTGCATTAAACAATGTCCAACAATAAAATGCAATTTACAAGCTCAATGTTAATTTAGTCAAACAATAATACAACAGCGTTTGGATGTATATTGTGTTAAATAGAATCGTATTTCAAGACACTTTAAAATAAGAGTGGGCATAATAGGCTGCTTCTTTTGGACTTGACGATGGGAAGGAAGTCGGGTGTGGGAAGAGAGTTAGCTGGGGGAAGGGAGTTCCAGGTTATGGGGATAACAGAGGAGGATAAATGACCTCTGACTGAACTAAGGTTGACTGGAGGCTATAACCTTAAGTCTTAATTGTTGGGAGTAGAGAGTGCATGCAGTGGAGTAGTGAGTTCGGCAGGCAGGTGCTAGTCTGCGGAAGATCTTGAAATTGACCAGGGAGTGGATTGAGAGCCAGTCGAGCGATTTGAGTACTGTGTAGGGTAATGTAGCCTCATTTACAAGTGCGGGTAATGTAATCCGGCAGCAGCGTTTCAGATAGAGATGGGGTATCTGGGCAGGTCGTAGAGGAGAGAGTTGCAGTAGCCAAGTGATGAAGGCATAGATGAGGATGTCAGCAGCAGCTGATGTAAGGGAATGGCAGGGTGTGGGAGATGTTGCGCAGATGGAGGTGCGTGACGCCCTGCGGAGTCCCGATGTGGAGGAGGAGGACCAGAGCTCAGGATTAATGACAACTCCAAGGTTTTGACGACCTTTTGTCAGTGTGATGCCAGAGCTGAGTAGGCACACACTCACAATCTGGTCTGAAATTAGTGTGGACTTTTTGCTAACGAGGAGTATTTCAGTTTTGGCAATGTACAGCTCGAAGAAGTTGGAACTAATTAATTGCCAGGGGCATGAATCGTTATACCCCTAATATTTAATAGTGACATGCTTTGGTCCTCTGAGTTTTTATAAAAACTGTTATAAAAGCCAGACAAATTGCCCAACATTGGGGCAGGCTCAGGGATTTGTAGCTCACAAAACTGAATGTTTATGATTTGTTGCCTATCCTGGAGTGAATTGCAGTGTAATCTGTTAAAAAGCATGTGATGTCCAGGTATTATCATAAATCCTCATCACTTTCCACAGTCATGATCCATCCACTGCTGGATGAAAGCCTTCACAGTAAATATGTTTTGCTTTTTGTTCTCCGATCCATGTGTGTTCCTCATTGTGTCTGTCAGTGTACAGCAATTCCTAAGCATGCCTAACTCCACGCATCTTTGTTTACTTTTCAGTTTTAGTTTCCACTTGCTTTATCATCGCTCATGTGTCTGATCCAAATGTATGAGCAGGTAATATGCACTAATGAAAAAAAATCGACAAACCAGGCACATTGGTATGTTGCTTTTTGTTATCAAATTCATTTTACAAAAAGACACTTCATCCTGCTGTCACTCTCCTCTTCAATTAATCATCTTAACTCTGATTCGCTTGCAATTATTCCCTAAATATACACCGTCTGTTGTGTTTCCAGTTGTCCAACAATTATTTGTTTTTTGTTTTTTTAAACCTCATTTCACTTGAACCAAACATCACAGCCTTCATTTTAAAGTCATCAATCATTTTTCGGTGTTCGTTTCCAAGGGTTATAATGACTATGCTGTCTAAATCTGATGTGGATATTTTGTCCGTGAAAGACGTGTATGCTTTTATGTCTCCAAAATATTATTTTGGGAATATATATTTTTAATGTCGCTGTAAAAAACCTTAATGAGATTTCTCTTTTTCTGAATTGTATTTTGTTACTTTCTTCGTACAATCCTGGTGTTTTCATTTTTTATAAAAGTTTATTTATTACTTCTATACACTCGTTTTTTGACAGCCTGAATTAGCCCACCGACTTCCACTGAATTGAATGCATTTTCGTAACCAATAAAAGCCAGGCATATTATTATTAAGTTGTCATTTTTACGATGAGTGATATTTGTATGTAATCAAAGGTAGACTTTTTTTCCCAAACCCAGCTTTGCGTGACAGTTGGTTGGCCTCTAAATGATGTACAGTAGATTCTAGATTATTAAGGGAAGGACGGCTGCGGGTAATAAAAATTGCAAATAATAAAAAAATCATGGATCTCTATGCCAAAAAACACTAATATAGGTATTAATTATGTTTAAGTGAATAACATCGAGTTTGTTAATGAACAAAAAAATATTTGTAGTAAAGAATGTACTGATCTTGTTTTATTACATCGATCGACGCGTGTGCTCAGTAATAACACTTTTATGCTCCTGCGCAGGAGTCTGCCCACTTAGTGGATGGTAGAGCCACACCAATCAAAATCAATCAAACTCCGCCAACTGTTGTAAAGATATGCATGTACTGCACTGTAGAGGCGATCACATGGATTTCGGATTAACCAGGGCGCATATTTGTTCGGTTTAAGCACATAACTTGCAATAAACATTTCCAAGAATAACAGTGTGTAACTGTTTTTAGATTATTAATTTGGTCTGAAGGGAAAATCCATGAGTTGTTCATTTATGTCAAAATCTGAGGTGCATGGTTGATCCACAAATCGGATAAACCACACGCAGATAATCGAGAGTTGGCTATCAACAACAAGGCAACTGACTAATTGGGAATGGGACGCAAGCGTAGGATTGATCACCCTGTCACTGGCCGCCTTTGGGGAGGGTGTATAGTATGAAAGGCCGAAACACCCTAGGAACCAAAGGTTCACTACTGACGATGCGCTCCCCAAATTTCACCAGGCTCACTGTTCATGAACTCTTGGAAGTGCTTGCACAAAGGATAGTAACATCTCATCCTGTGTTCTTTGGAATCTGAAAAATGTATTCGTCCTGTGCGATCTGTACAAACAATATATACATGTAATAAGAGGCTAATGGGTCAGTAATTCCTCTAATCACTTTTGTTATGATACGGTAATACCCCGATTTACGTCTCTTCCTTTACGTTTCGCAAATAAGTCATCACTTCTAGATTTGATGTTTTCGTGACTGCAAGGATTCATACTCTTTGGTTTTTTCGGTAATGTTTTTTCGGTAATCGTGATTTAATTCACTTGTTTTTTTAATTTATTTGTATTTTCTTTTTTAACTACGTGACTTTAGCAAAAAAACCAAAGCGTATGTCATCACTTGATTAACACCGCTGCCTGATTTGCGTCGCTTCAACCCCACACTTACGTCGTGGACAGCATCATCTGTCGTTTCTCGTATCAGTCACCTCTCAGCCTTCACCGCCACCTACCCTTGCAATTGCTTCGATTAATGTAGTTCAAATATTTGTCGTCGCACATTTTCAGGAACGCATCCCCCCCTGATGTAAACCGGGGTATTACTGTACTGCGTACATGCTTTCGGTATGGAAACCGAATCTGGATTAATTGTGCAGTGGTTAGAGCACTTCTGCCAGAGCCGATGATCCTGGGCCATTTATCCGTGTAGAACAACTGCGAAGCTCAGTGGGGCCTTACCAGCTGAAATAAAGTAGTAAGCGTGAGAACATGCGGTTTGCAATCAGAAATAAGGTTGCCATTTTTAATTATCGTCAAAGGTCGCGCTCTCCATTGTCCATAAATTTCGAGAAGTGAGCTGTCGTTCTTTGGATAGATTCTCCCTGCCATAGAAATGTGGAGTCTCCACCACTTTGTGCCTCGCGCTTGTTTAAGTGGGAAACCACTTCATCATTGCTGCCTCGGTTTACGCAGTTGTGCTGTACAGCTCTGATGTGTTTTAGGATTGTACGCACAACACAACCCAAAAACACTTGAGAGAACTGATTATAATTATACTTCGGCTCGTTTTGAATACAAATTGTTGCATAGTTCACAACACCTCCGTGATGCACGCGATTTTCACACAAAGCAGTTCCCTGTCGTACTCACTTCCGTATTAGCTGATAATTCCGTTTGCTGGGTTACGACATCCGCAGAATCGCCTGTGTGAGCCATACGTGACACGCAGTGTGGGGCACTTTGTGTCTGCACCGATAAGGGTTAATATCACACATTGTTGCCTTCCCTTGCGCTCCATGCTGTGGACCCCAAGAAGCCCCCCCCCCCAACTGGGTCCACACAC